ATCAATTTTTTCAACATTTTTTTAAGGGGTTTTATCGTTAAAATTGTCAAAAGTTTTGGCAAAAATTTAAATTTTTTTAAATTTTAAATTGAGTGCCCAGATTTATTAATCTAATAAATACAAACATAGGACAGCTTCCCGAATTGAAATTAATGAATTTTTGGCATAGTTATGACTTTTTAAAAATTTGATTTGTCGATTAAATTATCATATATAGAAATCTTAATAAGTATTGGTTAAGTTGGAATTGCCACAAAATTAGCAAAAATATATACAGGCAGACAGATCTAGAATGCTTTAAAATTTATAAACAAAATATGTTGACTTTAAATTGTTCTCTGTCGTTTTTAAATCAATTTCAAGAAAGTCTGGAGTTAGTCCAGTAAAATCATTACATGTACATCTTATTATACCCTTACAGGGTACTATAATTTCAGTCAGAAGCTTCTATCGCCGTGAAGGAGTCATTTCCGACCCTATAAATCATATATATTCTTGATCAGCATCGAAAGCCGAGTCGATCTAAACAAATTTGTTTGAATTATTTCAAAATTTTATAAGGGGTTACATCATTAAAATTCTTGAAAATCAATAAGAAAAATTATTTTTTTTTTACATTTTAAATTAAGTATGATTTATTAACCTATTAAAAGCTAGCATAAAACTGGTTTCCGATTAAAAATTAATGCATTTTTGGCTTAGTTATGGTTGATTTTCGAAATCATTATTGTCTAATTATAACCTAGGTTTCCTTTTAAATTAAAACAAAATCACTAAAGTTGATGTAACTTGTAATTTTTTTGCTTTAAATGCTATGAAAAATTTGCAAATTAAAAGCTCCGCTCCTTTTCCGTTTACTTAAACAATAAACAAGTTGCGTCGTGATTACAATCAGTGCAGTTAAAGTGGAGTACCAGAAATCGAAAAACACCACCAAATGGGCGACCTTTTGCGGATGCAAAACTGCAAGTCCCCTCCATTTTGGCTGGACTTTCATTTGGCTTCGCATTTGGCGATCTCATTTGGTTAGTTTGTTTTTCTATTTCTTATTTTTATTTGCAGTTTTATATTTACAACGTCTGACTATCTGTAAGCAAATTGATTTGGCCAGCACATGCGACGACGACGAGGTTCGTTAGTCCACAAGCTCCGTGTCCGTCCGTCTATCTGTTTGTCCACTTTTTATTGCTAAGCATAAAGTTGGTAGAAAATCAAAAGGAAGCGATCCGCGGTAGATACAAATTAAGCAAAAAGTCGTTGGACGATTACGTGGCTCTGGAAAAACAATCGGAGGGGAGGTGAGGAGAGAAGACAGGTTGCATCACCGTCATTATAATCGAAGACCCACAAAAGACAATGGGTCTCGACACCTTTATTTTTTTTGCTGCTGCCTCCGTTTTATATGTATATATCTATATATACATTTTTTCTTTGGCATTTCTGCCACTGCCACCACTGAGGGTTGCACGCCCAAATGGGAAACGCCTGAATGGAGCCATGCGATAGCCATGAGCTTGCTTGGAACCCGAACCCGGCAAGTCGATTGACTGACTGACTGACTGAGTGGATCCATGGACTCAAAGACTCAGCGACTCAGAGACTCGAGTGTGTAGTCAAGTGATGACTGGGGACCTGGGATCGGTTCGGTTTGGATTTGCTTGACTTGCCTGACTTCGCCGCGGCTGCCTACTCCGATTGTTGGGATTGCAATTAAGGTTTTGCCGCCGCGCTCCGTTGCATATCATATCATATCATACGCCAATGTAGCTATGCACTTTATGAAGACGAAAAAATTATGGCAAAAATGCGAGACTACTGCAAGTCGACGATAAGTATACTCTATGGGTTTTCATTTGAATTTATTTAATATTTATATAATATAATACAAAATATATAGGATCAGTAATTAACTATGATCAATGACCATTTAGTAACTATGATGAGTAAGTATCACTAAACACTGAGTTACTCGGAACAGTAACTATCTATGACCAGTAAGTATCTAAGACCAGTAGATAGCACGAAGGTAGTAACTGAACCTTTTATCACTAATAAACAATGACTTGCAACTTTTGTAACACAACACATTTAGGAGACTTGGCCGGCAGCAGTCACTTCGTTCCGGGGATGTTAGAACACATTGGGAATCATAAGTACAGATGTGCGAGATTTGTTTTGGAACAAATTTAATGAATTTGAATAAAACTATGGAGGTATTCTTCTATATATATTTACTATTATATAAGTCGGAGCATGGCGAATCGGAGGACTATATATATACATATATATTGCTGCCATAGGAACGATCGGAAAATTTTTATAAAAAATAAGAATAACTTTTCCAGCTTTCAACAGATTTTCATCAAATTTAAGATATATTTATTTTATATTATTATAGAATTTTGATTAAAATTTTATAAAAAATGGACTACTATATCATTTAGCTGTCATACAAACGATCGTTAAAAATAGAGGAAAATGCAAAACGTTGAATGCTAAACTACAATAAATTGATCTTCAGGCCAATATTATTATCAATATATCATACGAGACTTTAAATTTTAATAAAGTCAAGCAAGAAATATTTTTAGTACTTGTATTTATTTATCCATATATAAAATCGTACTTTTTCTTTCGATATACATAAATAATGTCAATAGAAACCCATGTTTCTTGACAAACTGGCAAATGTTGGCAAACACTTTTTGGTGATTTTCCAAACTCCTGACTTGATATGCAAATAAAAAAGGAAACACGTCAGCTCAGGGACAGGTTGGCAAACATTTTTATGGTTCCCAGAAATGCTTCCTTATTTCGATCAGCGAAACAACCTCTGGAAGGGCAGTAAAAAAACAACAAAAAAAGGGGGAAGTGCTGGTAATCGATAGCCGAGTGGCAGGTATCCATGTCCAACAGATACCCTCTCCCACCGCCGTGTGTAATGCCATAATTGTCTGGCATTAGTCGCTGCATTCAACCGCAGACACATTTGCTTCGATTGCCGCCTTGGAGTTTTCCCCCCAGTGCGTGTCCGATCAACGCTTTGACTATTATTATGTCACACTTTTGCTTTTCGCTTCCTGATAATACACGATGATCCGTGATTATCAGCCCACAAAACCCATCAGCAGCAGCAGCATTTTGATTCGTGTGGTCAATAATTGAGAAATAATCGGCACCCTAAAATCAGGTATTTTTCATATTCACTCACGAAAATTTCCAATTAATTTTAGGGGGTCTATTGAATCTCCCAATAAATCTCATGGGAAAGTGAAATTCTTAATGACCAGCATTCCATTAAATTGAAAATAATTATAACAAATTTAAGAGGAAGCTTTGCTCTCTCTCTCGATACTCTTTAAATAAAAGATGTAACTTTAATGAAATACAAATAAGCTGCCCACTTATATGCTTAATTATTTGTAGTTTTAACCTTTGCCATCTTTAATCATATTTCACTTTTGCAACAACTGGTTAAAATGCAATTTTGAAAGTAAATAAATAAAAACAGCAAAGTCTTGGGGGATTTGGCAATATTTCTCATTACTTCAAGATAAATCCTCTTGCTGAAATGCTTAATTGCCTGGTGCGTTGGGTAATTTGTCAAGAGCTGATGTGGGAAAAGGCATCTTTCATGTATATAAATACAAGAAAATACATAAAGTGATCAGTGATTATCCGTTGTAATGTCTAGACATTTGTACCTGTCATCGCATTTTGGAGAGGCTTCACTGTCTAGGGTCTTTCGTATTTCGCCACTTATTCCACTTATTTATCGAGCTTGTTTCCATTTGTCTTTTTCTTTTTAACATTACATTTTCGTAGATCTGCCTTTCCTTCAGAGATGATTGTACTTAAATCTCAACGAGTTCGACCTTCGTGACAAAAAGAAACATAAACAAAAACAAGACAAAATAATAATAATAATAATAATAATATTCGACGGTGTTCGACTGTGCACCCTTCGGAAGGCATTGAAAGGTTTCGCCTTGAAAATGCATTCGAGATGGGAAATGATTTTAATGTTTTCAAGTTTATTTTGTCGTTATCCAAAAACGTATTATGTTTAATTTTTTTCTGATGTTTTTCTGGGAATTTTTGCAGGGCTAAGGCAATATGTAAATGCAAGAAAACCTATCAACCCCTTAAAAAAATTTATAAGCTTAAGAACTTCTTTCCTTCATTAAAGATTTCTATGATTAATTTAAATTTTAAATATATTTAAATTACATAAGAATATATATATATATTATTAACCAACTTATTTCCATTAATTTATAACAAAATAAATACCGGAAAAAATGCACAAAAAATTTCTCAATAAACTGGAGTTACTTTTTGTTTGCTTTCGATATCAATTTCCTATTTGTTGTGTGCCTTGTGTCTATTTGTTAGCCACTCACAATTAGTCGGCACTTGTTATGAAAAATACATAATAAACAAAAAAAATAAATAAAAACAGAAAACAACAAAGAAACTGCTACAGAAATACACTAATCACGTTTATTAAATATCTCAACTACATGAATCATAACGCTCTTGGCTTTTATATATTTGCTTTTGGATTTTTATTTTGAACAAATTTTCCATAGATTCCGAATGGCGGAAGTAGGAAATTGTGGCATGGAAAACGCTGCCAAAAAATGCGAAAAAAAACATGACAATTATTAATGGCTTTGAGGTGGCTTTTATATGGAGCATGCCGAATGCAAAATCAAGTTTTAAAACCCAAGGAAAAAATAAAATAATACAAAACAAAACCAATTCCGTCAGTGGGTCATTGATAAACCATTCGAATGGCAAAGAGCAGGCCATTGACAATATGTCAAAATTAAATTTTGTGTTCAGGCCAGGCCAGAATAATTGTAGTAGTAGTTGTAGTACAAATCGATCGAGCCAAGCGTTAGTTTTGAATAGAATAATTTTGAATAGAGTAAATTGATTTATTGATTTTTGGTAAATTAAAAAAACATAACAAAAAACGCGTAAAGCTGAGCAAAATGGAGACCTATATCCAGGAGATGGCTAATGAGAATGTCCTACCGGAAATACCCCTATTCACCTCGCTGAGCTGCTGCTTCATGCTCCTGCTCCTCGTCGTGGGCGGCCTCTTTGTCTATATCACCGAACACAATTGGGATGATAATACGACGATCCAGCGGAGATATATCAGCGTTTGCATGGTGATGCTGCTCTCCGCCTTCCTGATATACTCATCACCGTACATACCAAAATATTTGGGAAATGGCTTGAGGGGATTATGGGAAGTGGTGCCATTATCCTATGCCTCCACCTCGATTATACTTCTGGGCCCAATTCTGGTTAATCTACAAAATGTCTTGCATATCTGAGTCATACTCTGCAAACAGATGGTATTTTTCCATATATTTTAAATTAACTGTATCTATGGAAAATTGTCATAGTCGCACATCAGTTATTAAATGTGGAATAATATCTGTAATTAGTACTAATTCTTCTCTACAAATTAATGGTATACACTGATACAAGGTCGTTGTCGGGTTTTCTTTTTCATTTCTTTTTTTGTTGAATTAATGATACTTCTGACTGATGGAGCTTGCACTACTTACAGAATGGCCACCATCCCAGTTGCATTTGGATTGTGGGATTTATTCTGGCATCTGGAAGTGGAGCAAGCTTAGTCGGTAAACTATTGTGGGAAAATTATGATTGTTTGGCTGCAAATAACCATATATGTATGCATGTGCATGGAGAAACTGAGATGTGACCGAAAGTAATGCCTTCAGTCAGGGAAAGGCAGTGGAAAATTATACAAAGTAAACTGTGTCTTTGGGGTAAGGAAAAGAAAAGAATGTAGTTAAAGTTTAAAGGAAACTATGTTAATAACGAGATTCATCTATTTATAACTGTTTCAAAACCCTATAAGTATTTAACAAAATCTGTTGGGACACATACAACTTCTTAAGGAAATATATTAGATTATATTCAAAACAAAAAATAAATATATATATAAAAATTATTGCGGGCTAAATTCGAATGGAATATATATTAAAGAAATAGAAAGAAATTTCCAAATAAGTTTTTGAGATTAAATGAAAACAAATATAAACCAATAAAGTATGTTAGCTTAAATTCAAATTAAAATACATTCAAGAACAAATTCAGTTTAAATGCAAATGAAAACATCGCTGATCAGCGTGGGCCCAAACCTTTCCGTTTCTCGTATATTCGTGCTACACTTAATGTCCACTTTAGTGTTTGTTCAAAATCTTCAAAATAAAACACTGGCAAGTCCAGTTAATGCTGTGAACCTTGTGCCTTAATTAAGCTTTAATGCCGGCCACTTTCAGTTTCGGTTTCTCAGTCCCAAAAAAAATAATAATAATAACAAAAACCTAACGAAGGCGTCAGTGTCTGTCTTTCTTTTATTTTTATTTACGTTTTCGGTGTGCCGTTTTTTTTTGGGTGTGTTTCACTTTTGTTTTCATTAAATAGCTGAGATTTCAATGTTGTTGTTGGCGACAATTGAAAGTGTTGTCAATTTTTGCGATTCGCCGGCGACAACAACGACTTTTCACTTTCCCGAAAAATAAACAAAAAGCGCCCCGTCGGCGTCCAGTTTTGGGTTCAGATTTCCGTCATGATTGTCATGCGACATTAATCTCTGTCTCGTTACTGGACTTGTATCGTTATTACAATTATTATTTCGCATTGTCTTTTTTTCTGTACTTTTTTTTATGATATAGTACCCAGTTTGGCGGTCAGTCGCTCGGCAGCTAGGGCGAACCAGTTGACCCCCGACGAACAGGACAGGACGGTCTGTCTTATGATGGGATTTTCGCAGAGTTTCGTTTTCATTTTCATTTTGCCAAGCGAAACGAGTTTGAAACTTCGAAAATTAACAGAAAAACGTGTACCTTTTGGATCGTTTAATGCCACCAAAAATAAGCTCGAGGGGTGATCAAAATAAATGGCTAAAAATCGGTTACGATATGGGTGGGCTGCAGTTGGATTACGGAATTTTAACAAAACTACAAACTAAGATATAAAATATATTTTATAAAATAATATAATGGCTGTGCCAAATAAGAGCTTAAGTTTCAGCTTTTAATAATAATAATAAATATAAACAAGAATAGAAAAAATTCAAATAATTCAATATATTTATACATAATTTTTTATGTATGTATGACAATTTTTCGATAAATCAAAAATTAAAAAACTCATAAATAGCCCAAAAATGCGTTTATTTTAATTCGGAAAGCTGATCTGTGTTAGTTTTTATACGGTTAATTAATCTGCATACTCAAATAAATATCTATAAAAATTAAAATTTCTATGATTATTCTTCTTCCATTTTTAACAATAAAATTTTGAAAAAAAAATTTGAAAAAAATTATCTGCCGGAGATGGCTAGATCGACTCGTCTTTTGATGCTGATCAAGAATATATATGATTTGTGGGGTCGGAAATGACTCCTTCACAGCATTACATGCCTCTGACTAAACTGATAATACCCTGCAAGGGTATAATTAAATTTAAAATATGAATAAATTCCAATTATAAGAGCAACACTCATTCACTCCCATATCTCCATATAAAATCTTCTCGTTATCTTGCTCTCCATCTCCTCTACATTTTCCTTTTATATAAACCGATTGCATAAATAAAAAAAAAAACAAAAAAAAAGACCAAAACCAAACGAGTTCAATGTTCAATCCGTATCCCCAACCTTATCCCCTCTTTATCACTTTCATTTCCCCTTTCGAGGCAATGTTTTTCCTTTAAAACTTATAAAAAATAATTTATTTTAATATGGCACATAAATATATATAATTAATTGCACAATTGCTCATAATATTCAATTTCTGAATTTCGAATTGGCAAATAAATTAAACAGGCTTATGACAGGACGCATTTGTTGTGCGGTTTATTTTTTTATATTTGTTGTTATTGTTGTTGTTCATGTTACTTGTTTTTTGGAAGACGCCGTTGGCACCGAAAACCAAAAATTATTGCAAATGAAAAACAGATTTTTGTGGCCTGCCCATATATTATATTTTTTTCGGGATTTTTTGCCCCCTCTTTTTGCTGTTTTTCTTATTGGTTTTGAGCGTTCATCATTAGAAAGTGAATTACTCACGTGTGTGTGTGTTTAGTTGTTGGTGTTGATCTGCTGGAGTTGGTGCTGGTACAGTTGGTGCGGTAGTGTTGCACTTGTTGTTGTTGCTCAGTCTGTCCGATCAGCATCGCCTTTCTCTTAACGAGAGAGCAAGACACCGACCCAACTAGCCAGAAATGTTGAAAAAAATCGCAGCTCAAATCGATTTGGTGCGGCTTAAAGCAACGCCAACGACTTTGGAAACACTGAACGAAATCCATGATCGCTAAATTCTATAAAAACACATATTTCACTTGAGAACAGATTCTTAAAGCACATGTGCAAATTTCTACTTTTAAATCGGTGTGACCGTAATTGCATTGCTAATTAATACCACACAGAGCAATCAAGCTTGCATTCTTTCTGGAATATAAAAAAAGCTCTAGCTAATGTCCATTTTATATTTTCCAAAGCTCAAGTTCGGAAATACTGTTTTTGCAGTGCAGAAAGAGAAGAAAATAGGACTTAAAGCACACTGCGAGAAAACAGGCGGAGGACAGAAAGAGTGAGAGAGAGTCGGTGGCGGCGAGACACTGGCTTGGCCAGCGGCAACGGTAGCAATGGACAATTTATGAGAGGCACCTGAGCACGTTACCTGTCCTCCTGCCTGCAAGCATTTTTATGGCCAATACCTTTTGGTTTTTGCTCCTTCCCGGGGCCTCCAAAATAAATTAAATGCAAATTAACAATCGATTGTCGGTGCGAAACATAAATAAAAGTGAAAAGGGGCCGACTGGTTGCTGTTGTTGTTAGTGGCAAGGAGTTCAACGCCATGGGTGGCGACTTTTTGGATAAAATTATCAAAACACATATACAATTTACAAAAGAAAATTAAATAACTTTGTATAATTATTAACGTACTGATATTAAATTAAAGCTTTTTATCTGTACATTAACATTGCAAATAAAATATGTGTAGAGCCTAGAAATAACAACTTAATGCAATGTTTTCGTGAGATGTTTGTTGTAATGCAACTATGGTCACACTGTAATGCATTAGTTGTCTCGCTCGCACTTGGGTAAAATCCTATGGTTGCTATGTTTTCCAGTAAATAAAGTTTTTAATGCGTATTAATGCGACGTTCTTATAAAAATATTTGCAATAAAGATTATATTCATGTAATATTTCATGTCTTTTTCTGGGAGCTGTTTATGTTAACAAATCATATATGTATGTATATATACGCATATTCCTAGCAGACTTCCCACCAAATCGGGCCATCTTCCCGTGTCTTGTTTTGGTTAAAAGCTGTCAATGCCTCCTCTGCCTGTACAGGCGGCGATCACCCCACAAAACTGGTTGGGGGGTTTTCTTTTTCGTTATCATTTGGATGAGTTATAGGTGAAAATTGTCGCGAAAGTCGTGAGTTATGAATTGGCTGCCGTTGCCACTGTCACTGCGACTGCTGTGTGTAATGTTCGGGGGAAGGGGGGCAAGTTTTGGCGAAGAAACTCGCGCCGTGAAGGTCAAGAAACTTGAAATCGCGGCGACTCACGCTCAATGCTGTTCGGCATTTAATTAATTAAAGTAAATCACATTTTGGCCTGCACAGCGCCGCGGCGGCGCACTGGCAGACATCATTAATCATTGAGAAATTAGCGCACATTTCCGTTCACCTTCAATAAATTAGATTCGTTATGAAAGCAAACAGAAACAGAAACTTAAACTGAAACTGAAACTGAAACAGACACGGAAAGCCCTTAAAACCCCCAAGCAAAAGAAATGTATTCAAAAGACTAATTATGGCGGGGTAGGGGGTCAAGCTCCAAGGGTTTTTCCAAATGAAGAAAATTTAAATGAAGGAAGTTTATATTTATACGGGAATACCATGAGCTTGTTCTAGTCTTTAAATAAAAAAAAACATATTTAATAAAATTAATAATTATAAAACTTATAACAAGGAATACTAGATGAAAGACAAAAAAGATAATAACTATTTGCAAACCCCTTTAAGTGATATATTAAGTGGGGGTAACCCTAGAAGCAGAGTCCTAGTGAGTCCTAGGACACATCATAAAGCATGGTGTAAAATATTAGCAAAAGAAATAAAAATAAAAAGTAGATAATATAATTATAATACAATATGATGTCATGGATCAGTAATAAATTCCTATTAGGACTTTTTTTAAATATAAATTGTTCCCATCTGAAGTTATAAATAGAATTAAGGATTTAAAATAGTCACATATATGTATATATTATTAAAAAAA